TTCCCATCCCCACTCTACATATCGCTCTTCCTTTCATACACCCAGAAACTCACCCCCCACCTTCTTTCCAACATTTTATTATGGTAGAATAATGACTGTTCCACATCACCGGCTCTCTCATCTAGCCGGACTCTAATACTGCAAGTTATTATTAAAGCTGGATGATGTTCAGGCAAATGTTTAAAATCTATCTCGAGCACTTTTCAATAATATTCTCCAGATTTATCTCTTTCTCCAATTACGCTGTATATATCCACAAGTTCATTGTAGATGTAAACCCGTACAATCAAATTTTCCATAAGCTGTGAGTCTTGCATAGCAATGTCTAAAAAATGTATTGCTTTACTGTACTGAGCCATTTCGAATAGTAATCTTGCTAAATGAATTTCAGACGTAAATGTACCAAAACCACCTGTCAAGTACTCAATTAATTTCATTAATTCTTTGTCTTCTTCACCAGTTAGTTTCAAATGAATATACCACATATTAATGCCAGTCGATTGAATTGAAAGTATACGAAAGACAGAACCCATTGTAAATAGAATTTCTCCTTCTTCTTCACAGAATACACTTTCCGTAGAGATATTAGCATAGGGAAATTTCTTTACTGATTGTTTAATATCTATTTGAAACAGAACGCTTTGTGTGTCAATTTCACCACCATTACCAGAAAATATGGCACCTAGCTGCTTAACCATTGTTGTGGACAGAAAACTAGTTACAGAGAGAAAACCGCCAAGATTATGTCGTATTTTACGTTCGAATTCCTCGTTTTTTATCAACTGGCCACGATAAACAGTGATCATTTTCTCATTTTCTGCAGTTGTATTTGTTGATATTTGTTTAGAATGATAGTCTTTGAATTGTAGATGAAGATTTCTAATGAAGTATCTCACTGAATACAATATATCAATATCCTGTTCTCTCAATGCCTTATTCAGAAGACGATAGAGAAATGTATCACGTGTATACCAAAATATAACCTTATGTGAATCATAATGATTTTCAAAATCTTGAGTAAAACGTAACTGTGCTTCATTATCAGCATACTGTCGACAACAAAATCCAAGCATCTCTGTCTTAGTTGATTCCGTGGAAATCAAAATGTCTCTTGCCAATTGTGAGTACATGAATTCAGCTTCTTGTTTCTTGGTATTGACAGTAGTGCTAGTGTCTAACGAGGAAAATGGAAGTGTAGTGCTCGCGGTAGTAATTACCGGCATCATTGTAGCTACAGTAAAATGTTCGCTGACAAAACGTCTATAACGATATCGCTGAACGCTCATCGTACAAAATAGTTGATTAATTAAAGACTGATAATCGGCATAAATTCCGCGTATTTTAGTATTAGTTGCAGAAGAAATTGAAGCCAATGACGCATTTGAACACAGAATATAAATCGAATCGATTATTGGTAATAGTTCAACTGTGTTTACCAATGTTTCGCTCGTTTCGCTCAGCGATAATAACGAAATAATAAGACAGATTTTCACGGAAATCGCTTTGATATCAGTTATAAAATTAATACATTCGTCCCAGTCGTCACAGGTTTGGAGATTATCGTTAGCGACAACAGTAGGCTAATGAAGTACATTTTGTCATTATCACTGCTTACTTGATTCGTCAGCCAAACAATAAGAAATGACGCTGCCATAATTTACTGGTTACATAGACTTACCAGAAAAAAGCCTCTGAAAATGTTTAGGTCAATTGGTTAGTAAATTGTGCATACAAATAGGCAATACGTAAAAGAGGACTCATCACAGAAGCAATTATATTCGATATCCGTCAAATCTCATTTTTTTTCTTTGTATTTGTAGACCGATAGGACATGTTAGGGAACCAAGAGAAAACCAAAGTATATCCTTGTGAAAATGTTTCTTTCACGAGACCCAAATCCAACAACTTTGATCACTAAGGATAAGCATGTATTTTTAGCGAAATCTAATATTTAATCGATTTTTTTATCATAAAACTGGATAGAGTTGGTTCACATGGCATTCAGTAGAGGAGACAAAACTCTACAAACAATATTATTTTGAACTCATTTGAAGTTACACTCTGTGCATACTCGGCATCAAGTACTGGAGAGGGAGTGGTTCTAAGTATGGAAATTTTGCATACTTTGATATGCTATTTAAATGATTCCACGAATTTCTTTTGTAGATTATATATATACAGTGGTCAATTTTGCGTAAAATCTTTATATAAAAAAATTAAATAAAAGTTGTCACAACACATCGAAATACATCTCCGAATGTGATACGGTATCATATAAAAAAGTGACAAGTTTCGAGAATAACAATATTTTTTATGGAAATTCATTCTATTAGCAAGATCAATGACAGATTCATGTTGAGGGACAAAAACTGAACTAGATTTCTTTATATATATAAATATATATTACAATCTAAGCCAAATTTAAACCACTATGCCATGAATATTTGACATGTCTTCATCGACCAATGTACACAGTAGTAAATTGTACTAGATACACATGTCTAGACCAAGAAGCACCTTCTGTTATAGGAAACGAAAATTTGAACAAAATATACGGTTTTAAATTGTCATTTTTAACAACACAGAACTTTTTAGTACTTATGTTTTAGAATTAGAGTATGGGTATGTGTACCTGTGAGCTCAACATCCACAAGTATACCCACACCATTGCTCTTAGTTATCAAAGTTGTTGAGCCAAGATCTCGTGAAAAAAACATTTATAAAATAACATATTTTCATTTTGTTGCTTTTATAACATACCATGTTGGTCTAACATACACAGAAAAAGATTGAGATATGACAGTATTGACCATCTGAAAAAAGGTCAGTTTTCTCGTGGGTACTCTCTTAAAAGTGAAACATGCAAACAGATTCTGTTCGTTATAGATATGCACCAGTCCAGTCGGACTGGGTCATCAATCATTTGATCTTTAGTTTATTAAATGAATAATACTTCCGTCTTTTTTTGTCACATAATAAACTGGTATGAACCTATTAAAGACCTAATACGAGATATATCATAACATTAATTGATTATT